TGATCAATCATTTTTGTTGAACATTTGTCATGAATAAATGTCAGCAATAGTGAACTGGCAGACAATAAACCAGTAGTAGTGTGACAACTGAATGAAAAAAAGTTGATAATTTGACCGATTAGATGTTCAAAGTGTTGTAGCTGTCATCAATTTTTTTAAACACATCCTACACATTTGTGTGTGTGTGATTTGATAATTGGCCATCATCATCAATAGAAATGGGAAAAAAACTTTGTTTTTTTAAAGTGAAAAATTTCTTAATTGAAAAGAAAAATATTGATTTAACCCGTTGGAATGATGATTTTTGGGATAAAAATTGCTGACTAAAACCAAAAAAAGAAAGAAAAGCTAAAAAATGTTTTCCACCTTTTTTCAAATGAAAATTCAATTATTCAATCATCATGTTACATGACAAAAATGAAAATCAATGTTTTCTTTTCTCATTATTTGAAAATCATCATCATCAGTGATAATGATGATGATAACGATGTGTTATCAGCTAAAGAAATTGAAACAAAATATAAATGGGGAGAAAAAGTTCAAGCAAAAAGAAAAAGAGAAAACTTGAAACTTTTTTCTTTTAATCATCCTCGAAAATTGATTTCATTATCAGAGTGAATTCTTTCGACGTTGTTGTTGTTTTGATATTGGAGAGGGAAACAAAAAAGTTTATTTTCATTTCGAAACAATATTCCGGCTTCGTTTTGGGTAAAAAAAAGATCGATTTCCTTTTTTTTGTTGTTGTTGGATTCAGATAGGAAAAAGTTTAAGAGGAAAAGTTTTCAAAATAAAAAAAAATATTCTTGCTTTAGATAAACACAGATAGGATAGTGTAGCATCTTTGAACCGACCCGAAAATTGATTGAATTCAATTGAGATTGAAATGATGATGAAAAAAAGTGAAAAATTCAAAGTTAGGAAAACTGAAAAAAACAAAACAAAATAAACATTAACAGACAGAATTAACATACAAATGCAAATGATGAGCAAGCACAGTGAATTTGGTTAAATGTTTTTCATTTTCCCGGGATTCATTCTTTTTCTTTATTGAAATGTTTTTTGATGTTTTGAATTTCAATTGATGAAAAACAGAAAACAGCAGAAGAAAATTTCGCTTTTCATTCCGCTCGTTCATTTCCTGCTGAATATTCAAATTGAATTTGGCTTTACAAATGCGAGAAAGAAGCAAAAAGAGAATTTCAATTTCATTTTAAGAAATTCTCTCTTTCTCATCTTGCATTTCGCTCAAAATTGATTGATAAAGAATTTTATTTCCATAAAAAAAGGATCTTCTGGTCATTTTCTCACTATTTCAAAGTGTTGTTGCTGTTTTCAATTTAGAAAATTGAATTTTTTTACATCAATTTATTCATTCATTTGGTATTCAATGTTGGAAATGAATTTGAAAAAAACAAAACAAAACAAAATGATTATTTAATTTGTATAATTTGTTTCGGGATTCTTTCTGAACAATCTTTTCGTATTCAATGTAATCATTCTACAGACTTTCATTCATTCATTCATAAATGTTTCTAAATTGATCGTCAAAGAGAATCTGTTGCCAAATTGACAATTGAAAATCAACTTATATAATGATTATTGCTATGCAATGATTTGATGGAAAGTTTTTCTATATGACTGTTCAAATGTGTGATAAAAATTCAAATGTTTGAAAAAGAATAGATTTGATAATGATGTTTAGTGTGTTTAGTGAATGAATTGAATGAATAAATGAATGAAAAGCAAAACAATGTTGTTGTTTTTCCCCATTCAACTTCTAACAATCAAAATTGAATGTTTTTTTCCTAAATGTTTTGCTTTGTTGTTTTGTTAAGCATCTTGATTATCATCATCGTTATCAGTATCGATAGAAAAGAAACAAAGAGTCACCCAAACAACATTCGTTTCTTCAAATTGCCATTGTTTTATGATGATGATGATCAGAAGCTGATATTCAAAATACAATAAAATGACTGACGATGAATGAAACAAAGAGAAAATAAATGACATTTTCACTATTGAACCAAAAAAAAATTTGGTCGTGAAAATGACTGAAAATGAATTCAACCGAATCTGAATCCGTTTTTCTTTAATGTTAGAATCGTGTTTTGATTCTTTCTGTGTTTTGCATCCAATTCTGATTTTGATTCAAATTCTGTTTTCGATTCGCACACACTTGACTTTTGTATTTTTGGCTGGTGTTTTGAAATCGATTTTTTTTCTGGCTATTCTCGATTCTCGAAACAACAACTACAACAAGGGAAAAGATTTCCGATTCTAGTTCAATGACTTATTGGTGACACACACTGTTCACTTTCATTCATTATTTGAGCCTGATTTATTGATTTGGAATCACATCCATTTTTTTCTTCTTGGATTTTTCTTCAATTTTCAATTGCAAAATAATTATCATATATGAATTTTGTTTGCGTTTGTCAAAACACAACAAAAAACAGCCAAAGGGTAGAAAAATTATTATTAATTGATTGACAAACGTATATTGAACACACACATTTTCCCGATTGTTTTTTTCTTTTGTTGTTATTGTCATTATGACTATAATGAGTGTGTACAAATAGTGGTCATTTATTTCATTTTCAACTTTAGCTTTCACATTGAACCATAAGGAAAACAAACAAAAAAATTGATGACTGCTATTTGTCGTTACAACTTGATTCTTCTTTGAACAGCCAGCAAAACAGAAAAAAATTTGGACAATATTTCCAATAAAGGAGAGAAAAAAATTTGACAGATTGAATTCCAAATAAAGGGAAAAACAAACAAATATAGAGAAAGAAAATATTGATCACATCGTTTGGATGTTTGGATTTCGTTTGATTCTTCGAAAAAAATTCTTTGTAATTCTGTGATTCTTATTATTATTGTGTGTCATTTGTGTTATTTATTTGTTTCATATGATGATGATGGCAATTAATTGCTTATAAAAAAAAATTCTTCCAGAAAAAAAGTCACGAATTAATATTATAACGATGTTTGTTTTTTATATCAATGCTTGTTATTTGTTGTTTTTGTTTATCGTTACAAACAACAAATAACAAATAACAATAATTAAAACAAATTCTTATCGTAAAAAAGAAAAATTCTTTTTCTTTCTTCGTTTTTCGCGTTATAACAACGTTTTCTTTGACATTTTGAATGGATCGTTTGTTTGTTTCGTTTATTTGATGTCATAAATAAAAACAAAAACAAATCTTTATATTTTCATCAGCCAAAATAACGTAATTAGAATATGTTTTATTAATAATAATAATAAAACAAGCCAAAATAAACATTAATTTTTCACACATTTTACATATGCAAGATTTTTTGCAAGTGTAACGTTTTTTTTCCTTGCAAACATCTTGGAAAAAAAATTACAAGAAATTATTATAAATGTCCTGTTGTTGTTGTTTGATGAAATTGATGATGGTAGCAGTGAAAAAAACCAAAATATTCAGCTTTTTTCTATTTTTCGTTAGTTTGATATTTGGAACAACCAAACCAAGCAACAAAATATTCACATTTTAAGAAGATTAATTTTTCCCATAAGAAATGATGAGATGATGAGCAAAAAAAAGTGTCGTCGTCGTCGTCATTGAATTGAAGATTTGAAATGGAAAAAAGATGCTTCATTATCAAAATGAACCAAAAAAAAAGAAAAAGCTTTTTTCGATTCTTTTAGGAGAAAAAAATAAAATTATGATTCCCGAATGAAAAGAACGATTCTTCATGATGATTCTCTTCTTTCAGTGTCTTTCATTTCTTGAGAAACTATAACTAACTGAGAATGAGAATGAAAGTGATTCTATCTTGGATGCTTTAATTGATTTTTTCTTCTTCTTCTTTTTGTTCCTCTCTTCTTACTGATCAATTATTTTATTTTATTTTATTTTTTTTTTTTTGTTTTTTCAAAATTCTGCTTTGAATCAAAAATATTGAGTTTTGAATGAATGAATGACATTCACTCCAAAGTCAAAAATGGAAAAAAAGAGGAAAAAAACTCTGCTTTCATTGTACGACAAATAACTAACGGAAAAGCACTTTTATCATAATTCATGTTGGATGTTTTTTTTTGTCTTTGTCTTTGATCATGGTAAAAAGTTATTTTTTTTTGTTTTTGGCCATTATGATGATCACTCACTCGATGATCATTTTTTTCAGTTTCATAAATGACAATTTTCATCCATTAAATGAATGGATCTTTTCATATTAAAAATCAATTGATATTTTTTTTTGATTCATTTTTTTTCTATTTAATTACGAAATGAACTTTTTTTGTGATTTTAGTTTTATTTCAGAATGTTCATTGAACCAAGAGAAAGAGAGAACAAAATATTATCATTAGCACATTTCCATTGACTTTTTTATATATTGATCTTTAATCGATCATTATGTAATTTTCAGTGTTTGTTTGTAATGTAAAGTTTTTGTCAATCAATAAATCCGATTAATCCAAAAATTGAAGAAAAAACAAAATGAAAATCTGTCACCATCATTATCATTTATATTTGATACGAAAATAATCGGAAAAACAAACAAAATTTTTTATTATTATTGTTTTTCGAAAATGTTTTTTTTTATTGTTGGTTATTAATTCTTCGGTTGTCTAATGATGTTGAATAATAATAATAAAATTTCACTGTATATCGTTATGGGAGGATTTCAAATTGAGTGTTGAGAGTAATTCGGTGTTATTTTATCAGTGTGTTTGTGTGTGGGTTTATGTGTGATAATAATCATTTTCATAATGATTAAAGTGAACCAGAAAATCCATTAATTATAATCACTTGAAAAAAAGGAAACAAAAAACTCAAACATTTACTTTACTTTATCATCATCATTATAATTATAATTATCTACATTTTTATTTTAGAATAATAATTAGTAATAACATTATTATTAATAATAATTATTACAAGGATAATGACCAGTGTTAATTGTTTTTTGTTTCACTAATTTAATTTTCATTTTTTTCATCTTTTTCTACTAAAAACAACCAGATTGTTTAACCGTACGAATTGTCAGACATTGGATTAATCAATCGGTTGATAGTCGAAATTATTCCAATTCAATTATAATGGACTGTGATTATCAATATGATCCTGAAGAGGATATAAAATTAGTTGTCCGTTGGTTTTATAATGATTGGCCTGAACCAATTTATCAATGGATACCAGGTAATATTGATAATAATCGTTATATTGGTCAATCAATTCGACCGTATTTTGATATGAATTTTCAAATTGGTGATGATAAATTTACAAAATATCGTGCTATACGTTTAATGCCATCATCACAATCGCAATCGCAATCGCAATCGCAATCAACATTATCATTTGATTTAGAATTAAGTGGTAATTATACCTGTGTTATATCATCAATTATGAGCCAGGATTCAAGACAAGGTCAACTTATATTCTATGGTAAATTTGATGAGATTTTTTTACCAAAATTAAACTAATTAATCATGATTTACTTTTACTATAGTTCCACCTGAAAAATTTGAATTCAATATATTTTCGAATGGTGGTCGTTTAAATTTTCCAACAAATTTCAATAATAATGATAATAATCTTTCTGCTGATGATGATAATAATGATGATGACGATAGACCAATGGTTAGATGTCAAGCACATAATGTATATCCAAAACCATTATTGAGCTTTTCTGAATTGATTGCTGATGATACAATCTCAACAATGACGATCAATCAACATCAGTCATCACCATATTCACAATTTAAACAAACATTTCCACGGATTAATGTTCAGACAATAATATCAAATGAAAGTAATCAAAATCAACCACAGACAAAACAACTTTATACATCATGGTTTGAATATCGATTAAAAATTGATTCAATCAAAGTTGGTACAATATTTGAATGTCGATTAGAAATACCAACAACAAACTATATACGTAAAAAACGTATCAAATTAATCTATCCATCAAGTAAGTTTTGTTTTTGGTTGAGGAAGAGAGAGAGACTGAAGAGAATAAAGAAACCACAAATTCTTCAGTCAAAATTTATGACTATCAAAAAAAAGAGATTCTATCTAAACAATCCTGGCCTGGCTTGGTTCAACTTTTTTTTCTGGTTATTGTTGTTGTTCATAGAGAGAATGAGGAAAGAAAAGCCAGAAACCAAAAAAAAATTTCAAACTCAATTCATCATTTATAGACAGTAGACAAGCTTTAGCTTCATTTTCTTTTGCTTTTTTTCGTTTTTCGCTTTATAGCTAGGAGAGAGAATAAATCAAATCACTATATTGATGCTTTAATATGAAAAAAGAGAGAGAGAGAGAGAGAGAATCCCACATATATAATGCAATTGAATTGAATTGAATTAAAGTCAAATATAAGAATATAATGAATGAATGATGTTTTCAGAATACTAATACTTGTTTTCATAAAAAATTTTTTGAGTGAAAAACTTTCATCATCACAGCATCATCATCATAGAATTATTATTATTCTTATGAAAAGAGAATCTTGATATCATCATCATCATCATTGAATAATTCTACTTTCATGGCTGTTGCTGTTAAACTAAAGCCAAAAACGAAATAAAACGAAAGAGAGATTTTCTATACTTTAAAGTTTTTTTGCATTGTAATAATGCAAAAGACGATAATCATCATAAAAGAAATAAGATTTTTATAATGAAAATTATTATTTTCATAAAGTTATTACATTGAGAAAAAAGTGGTAAAAGTTTTGGGGAGAAAAACGAGGTACAAACAAAGTAAATTTTTTGATTGATCAATTCGATATTGGAAAAAGATTGATCTGAAATTGAAACTTTTCCATTATTTTGAATGAATTTTTCAATTTTGATTTTTTTTTGATTTATTTAGCCTATCTAAATGGTTTACCATCATCACAATCAACAATGACAACAACAATGTTGGATAATAATAATCGTTGGTCACGACAATATGGTATTGGTGGTGGTCAAACAAAACAATTAACCGATTATCAAGCTCAATTACATCATAATCAACAAAGAAATTGGGCCAGTCACAACAATCATAATCATCAATTTAATTTGATTATGACATTATCGATGATAATGATAATTTCATGGCTAAATCATTGTTTTTAGTTGTTTTCGTTCGTTCTTTTTGTATCTGTGCCTTAAAATGTTTGTAAAATATGTAAATTTCCTAATTAATCGTTTGTCAACCTGGAGAAAATACAAAACAAAAAACAAAATTCAGCCAACAAAACAAACAAACAAATTATTTCTGTAAAATTTTGTTTTATTTTTGCAATAAAAAAATTTCAAAAAAATAAAATTTTAAAAAATCTTGAAAAAACTGATGAATTTGGTTGACCTTGTTTTGAAATGGAAAACAAAAAGTTGTAATTTGATCTATTTTAAATAAGCAATATTATCATCAAATAATTTTATCATTGATTTTTGATAAGATTTATCTCTCTCTGTGTGTGTGCAATGTAACAATTCCAAAAAATGAATCGAATCAAATCAAACTCATTTCGCAGCTGATTTGTTTGTTTGATTAATTGCAAGACAAACTTCCACTTAAAGATAATGATAATGATAATTATGCTCATTATAAATTGTAAATTGATATTTTTTTTCTTAAAGAAATATTTGTGACGAAGAGACTTTTAAAATCAATATAACATTGTAATAATGATGCAAGAATTTTGGAATAGTTTTTTAGCATCATTCACATTGACAATAGCATCCGAATTTGGTGATAAAACATTTCTAACAACATCAATATTTTCATTAAAATATCCACGATGGTTAGTGTTTATATCATCAATGTTTGCATTGACTACAATGAATATTGTTTCCCGTAAGTTTTTTTCCAGTTGCTAAATATTTGTTATTTTGGTTCTTTTCATTTGATTTCAATATAGTTTTTCTTGGAAAAATAACGGCCAATATTCCAACATATATTATTGAAACGATTTCAATCATATTATTTGGTTTGTTTGGTATTAAAATGATTTTTGATGGTTACAATATGAAACAAGATATGAATGTTGATTTGAAACAAATGGAAAAAATTATTGAAAATGAAATTGTAACAAACAAGAAAAAAAATGATGATCAAATGTCATCCACAACATTATATTCAATGGTTTTTTTGAAAATTTTTTCATTAATTTTTCTGGCTGAATGGGGTGATCGTAGTCAATTAAGTACAATTTTATTATCAGCAAAACAAAACGGTGGTCTTCAATGGGCTGTTGGTTTTGGTTCATTTTTGGGAAATTTTTTTACAAATTCTATTGCAATTTTATGTTCAACAATTGTTTCCGAAATTATTTCCATTCGAACAGGTAAATTTATTTAGGTTTTTTTTTGTAATTATCGTTTTTCATTTTCCCCCAAATAATTTAGTACAAATAATCGGTGGATTTACATTTATATTCTGTTCAATTTTTAAATATTATTATTCTTGAATTACATTTCATCATCATCATAAACCAGCTGCTGCCATCTACCTCTTTGAAGGAGAAAAATATATCATCAAAAAACCTTTTTAAATATTGATCAATAGATGGCGTAAACGATAAAACATATCAGATATTCAAAATTCATGGCGCCCACATGAACAAAAAAAAAACATATAGAGAATTTCTTTTTTCGGATTCAATATTGTTCCATTCTGTTGTGGTATGCGCATACTCATTATCATCATCACCGAAAGATTTGTAAAATAATATACCCTATTGTTGTATTGTGTCGGTCGTAGGTTGGTTGATTCAAAATGAAATTGAAAATTTCATTTCATTTCACCCAGTTGTTATTTGGTCGTCAGTTTGTGTGAATCTTGGCGCCATAAAAAAATTAGTTTTTCATTTCACTGTTGTTGTTTTGTTTATTTGATTTTTATGATTCTTATTCTTGATAATGATCAAATGTGAAAGAAAAAAAAATGATTAAAATTTAAAAAAAAAATTTCATCAAGTTTTTTTCTCATTAAATTTTTCTGTGTTTGTATCCGGAATAAATAAATATGTAGTGTGTATTTTTCAACTGTTTTCGATGTGACAATATCGACGGTGTTGCGTTATTTTTTTTTCGCTGCTGCTGGGTTAATTATGAATTTTGATGAATATCATTTTCATTTTAATTACATGCTTGAAAGATTTTTATCTTTTTTTCTTTCATTTTTTTGGTCGTTATTTTTGAATCATTCTGGCTTCATTTTTTTGAAAAAAAATCATGCAAAAATTATTCAAATGAAAATCGATCATCAACCAACCAACCAACCAGCGAATAAAGTTTCTCTCCCTTAAATATGTAATTCGTTTTTTGGTTCATTCAAATTCTTCAGCAAACACAAAAATCTCAATCAATCAATCAGCATGTGATTATTGAAAAAAATGAGAAAAAAATCGTTCGTTACTGGATAAAATGATGATTTTTTTTATCTGCATTATGAATTCCATTTGATTTGATATTGAATTTCAAATTCGTTTTTGTTTTTTAAAGTTTGATTTGGGTGAAAATGAAATGAATATATTTGCAATATGAATCCAATGAATTTTCATCATCATCACACCAGAATCATAACCGTCATCGTCAAAACTTTAAATCCATAACGATGACGACGACAATCCATTTGATTCAGTTTTTTGTCTACAAATTCCAATGATGATGATTTTGGTGTTTTAAATCTCTTTCTTTTTCGCCAAAAGAAAATCTTATTTGTTTTCTGCTTCTATAAAAAAAAGAATTTTCGCGGATGAAATGTTTCCATTAAAACAAACTTGAAAGCAAATCACCAAACATAACACCCGGATGACAATATCAATTCTTGTTTGTTTTGCTTTACGTTCACATTTTTTTTTTCGTTTTTGTTACTTTGATTTCGACCTGCATCTTCAAAAATATCTTTTATCAATCGACAACAACAACCAATCGACCAAATGGTAAGATTTTTTCATTTTTTAACTTTTTTTTTGTTGAAAAAAATTGAAAACATCATTCGAAATCATTTCCAAATGAATGATGTTTTAATGTTTTTTTGTTGTTGTTTGTAAGTTTGTTTTATTTTCACTTTGATCGAATTACGAATCAAAAAGATTATTGTTTGTCCATCTAATAAATTGTCATTACTTGTGTTATCTGTGATTTTTGGCCCTGATACAAAAATGATAACATCAAACGATGATTTAATTTGATCAGAAAATTTTTTAATGTAATTTTTTTCTGGTTCTGGTTCTTGTTTTTCTGTTTTCTGGTTTTGATGTCCGTGTTAAAATGGCGTAAAATTACCTTGAAATAAAATTGAAAAAATACGTTTCTTTTTCAATTAACAGAAAAAACAAACAAACTTTGTGTTTTTCCGCTGTTTTTCATTTTTTTTTTAATTCTAGAAAAAAAACACACATATATCATCACCATCATCAAATACGGTTAATTCAAACTTGATGAATGTTTGTTTTATTCTGTTCAGTGTTTTTTTTCAAAAAGTCCGAAATAAATTCATTTCATTTCATCAAATTCAATTGAATATTCACTCACGTAGCAATGGATGAATAATTTTTCTTTTCTTTTTCAAAGTGATAAAATTTCTACAGAAAAAAAAAAGTTTTTCTAAATTGAATTTTCTTCACTGGACACACACTGGACACACTTTGTCAAACAAACCGAAACTAATCAATTTTCTCTTTAAAATGACCATTGTGATGACAGTAACAACAACAACAATAAAATCATTATAAATCTAATGATGTACTGAATGAAAATGTCTTTTAAAAATTCAATTTGAATTCAATTCATCATTTTTAGACAAAAAAAATAACCATATGGATCAATTTCAATTTGTTGTTTCCATGCATGATGTATACACGCATGATACATATATGTAATGTTCTAACTAACAAATTTTTCAATTTCTTTTCTTTTTTTTGTTTGATGTTGAAAATAAATTGAATTAAATTTCATTCAGAAAAAACGAACCAAAGAGAGAGAGATTTTGCCAGTTTTTTTTTCTTTTGATTTTTTTTTGTTCAAACTTTTCACACAAAAAAACGTTAAAGAATTTTTGGAGCTCTATTCATTCATACAAGATTCTTTTTGGTTTCGCTTCAGTTTTTCGTTCTTTCTTTCTTTGAAATGAAATGAATGAATGAAAAATTCATAGGGAAACAAAAAAAAAACAGGAACAAAAATATTCTCGAATGATCATTATTCATTACATCGACACTACAAACAGCAAAGATATATATTTTTTCCCTTATATTTCTTTTCTTTTTCTTTCTGAGGGGGGGGGAGTAACAAAAAAAACTTTTCAAACCAAATGTAGATCGAATAGATCTAACATTCCACCATTATCTTTAAGGAATTTTTTTCTACTTTGAATTAATAACCAAACCACAATACCTTTTGTGAAGAAAACCTGCATAAAAAAACAATTCACTTTTTTTTCTGTAAAATAATGATGAAAATTTTCAATTTTTTTTTTGGTTTTGCAAACATCCAGTTAGAAAAAAACCAAGTTAGTCGATTATTATTTAGGGACAATGAAAAAAAAACCAACAACAAACCATATGAAAATGACAAACATCAATGATGGCAAGTAAATGAATTCGAATGTCAAATGTCAAAAATCATTTTGATGTCAATTTTTTTTTCTTGGCTCACTACATAATCGAAATATCAAACACACAAAAAAAATGATGATGAAAATCTTTGAATGTCATTGCATATCCTATTTGTTTGGCTTGATTTGATATTTGTTTGTTTGTGTGTGTGTCTGTCATCCGAATATGGAATTTTCGAAGAAAAAAAATATTACATTATCTAACTTGGTTTCTTTTCGCTAACCGTAAAGATTTCCAAAATGAAATAACTTTTTTTTTATTTATATCAAATTCTTTATTCATTCATTCATTCATTCTAAATTAAACACACACAAACACATTTGTTACACCAAATTGAAAACAAAAAAAAACAAATCAAATATGTTCATCATCATCATCATCATCATCATTCCTGGAAACTATTCTCAATGTTCAATGAGGCACAATTGTTTTGTTTTTGTTTTTGTTTTTGTTTTTTTGAAGATTGTACTTTTAATAATATTATTATTATTCAACAATCACCGAATGTCACCAAGGATATTATTAACAACAACAACAACCATACACAGATGCAGGATTTATATATTTTTTCCTTATAAATTAAGATTCAGAAACAAACGTATCGAATACACACTACTAAATTGATATTGTGAATTTTTTTTTATTCAAGTAAAGAAGAAAAATATACATTTCTTCAATTTGATTTGGTTGATTTGGTCGGTGTGTGTGACTTTTAACACATTATCTGTGTCTGTTTGGTCGATTTGTTTTTTGTTTTCAATGTTATCTCACTTTTCATTTGTTTGTTACGTTCATCTTGATTTATCGATGCTTTTTTTCCTATTTTGTTTGTTTGTTTCTGTGTGTTTGAGTTGCATTAGTTGTTTATTCGTTGCACATCATCAAAACAGAATGAAAATAATGTTAAATTACTTTGTATTATATTAGCCATAAGCTATATTTGTGAAGATTCTTTCCCTCTCTCTCTTTCTGTGGAATGAATGCCATTTTATATTAGATTTTTTTTTTGTTTTTATTTTTTTCAACTTATTATTATTATTTTGGTTGTTTCTTGATTTTCAGTTATTCTGTTCTGTTCTGGTTGTTCAAGTTGATATTTACTTTGAAAATCATTTTTTTGCTATTCTGTTGTTTATCAGTTGTTTGTTCTGTTCTGTTTTTCGGGGTTCGTTGATCGATCATAATCTTAATTAATTTGTTGATGATAACTCTTGATTCAGATTGCTGATTCAGTTTCTGTTTTCAATTCATTGGTTGTTTTGATAATTATCACCGACAACCAACCCAGAAAAAAACCTTGATGAAATTCACTGTGTGTATGTGTGTTCGATGAACTTTTTGTTGTCATGATGATTATGATGAATGTTTTCTTCTTTGTTTCAATATTTACTCTATGAAAACAAAACAAAACAACAACAGAAAAAACCCTAATGATAATGTTATTCATTCATGTTTTCTGTTTTTTGGAATCAACAAAGTCAATATGTGTGTGTGTGTGTGTTGAGTTTCTAAATAATAATAATGTTGATATTGGTTTGTCTCCAGAAAAAAAAAGAAAACATTGATATTAGATAACAAACGAACTAAATATCCAATGTTTCATTTGATGATAATAATGATGATGATTATCAACCGAACAAAACAAAACAAAGGCAAAATGAAAATGAATAGATTTTGTTTTGGAAAAAATAAAGGGTACCAGGTGTGTTTTACCGGCAAAAAAAAGTTTATTCGTAATTGATTGATCGTTTTTTCATGACGGCCAGGTTCTTCTTACTGATTAGGTGATGATGAGCGAACCAAAAATTTTCAGCAAAAATAAACAGAAAAAAAAATTTCAAAACTTTACTTTAATTAATCAACGATAATTAATTACTTTTTCAAACAAACAAACAACAAAAAAAAACACCCGGGAAACTTATTTTTACTTGACCATTTTTGAAACAACTTTGTAAATGTCCAAATCGATTCATTTATTTTGAACCCTTTTTTTTGTTTGTTCGTTTGGTCATTGCAATCATTATTTATTTATTAGATTTTTCTTAATTTGAAATTGAACAAAAAATCCAATCAACAAAAAAACCTTAATAACCAATTTCGAAATTCTTTAAGTGTAGTTGATGGCAGAATACGATGAAAACGAAAGTTTATTTTTCGATTACCCAATCGAATGAATGACCCAATGAAACACAGATCAAATCAATTTTTTTTCCAAGAACGAAGAAACAAAAACAAAACAAAAAATCGATTTGTTTTCGATATCTATCACAAGATTGTAATAACAACAAAACTTATAAGTTTGACATTT